GCGCACGCCCACACACACCCGCAGACATGTCCGCGCACGCCCGCAGACACTCACGCCCGCACATACCCGCAGACACTCACGCCCGCGCACGCCCATGCACGCCCACACACACCCGCAGACACTTACGCCCGCGCACGCCCGCACACATCTGCAGACACTCATGCCCGCACACGCCCGCACACACCTGCAGACATTCACGCCTGCACACACCCGTGGACGCTCACACCCGCGCACACCCACGGACACACATGCCCGCACACACCTGCAGACACTCACGCCCACACACACCCGCCCAAATGTGGCTGCAGGGCTCCATCTCGCTCGGCCTGCTGCTCACGTTTCCTCTGGCACCAAACAGGTCCCAGGTTCTGATCAGGAGGCCCTGCAGGCCCACCGCAAGGCACCCTCTGCCCCACCTCCTGCCCTCAGTTAGGGGTTTCGAACGAGTCTCCATTTAAATAAGGAAACACGCCGGGCCGGGCCTGATGCTGTCGAGCTTCCCTTCAGATGGACTGGGAAACCGGAGGCAGAGCCACGCGGGCTTGGCGCAGCTCGGAAGCACTCCGCGCTCACGCTCACGTCTCCCTTGGGCACCGGAAGGGAGGGCCAGAGCTCAGCCACCGAGGCACAGGGTGGCACACCTGCCAGAGCACCCTCCACTCGTCGCTGCCTGGGGGACGGGTGGGGACACCCACCACCTTGGCCTGAGGAGCAGCCCGGCTGAGCCCGCAGTGGCACTGGGACGCCATGGCCAGACAGCCGCCCTGCGCTCAGGTCCTCACTCTGCCACAGCTTCCGGGGCCTGCCTCCACCTCTGCCTGCCCCGCTTTCCCAAAGGGGCAGTCTCAGCGGCCGCACCCCACCCCTGAGCTCCGCAGCAACACGGTCATGGCTGAGTGTGCTCCTTCCTGGCCCCGCAGAGGGGCCACGCTGCAGGGCCACGGGCACACGTTAAAGTGCGGTTGCCCTGCAGCCTCTCCGGCAGGTGAAGTGGCGGTGGCCCGGCAGCCTCTCCGGCAGCTCTGCGTGGCTTAGTGTCAGTCCACTTGGCCGCACACACGGCCTCTCGTGGCCCCTCATGGGAGACGAGCAGAGATCTGTGCTCGGAGCCCCAGCTTTGGCTGCAGGGGCGGACCAGCCCGTCGGGGGCCCCCGCACAGGGGCTGTAGCCCGCCTGCCACCTGCTGCCTGCCTGCGGACTGGGCGCGGCTACGTGTGGTTTCCGTGTCTGGCTCCCACGCAGACGTGCCAGTGCAGCGAGGGCCGGCCCTGACGGATCACTTGCGTGGCTGCTCCCACCCGCCGTGCAGTGGCCTGCGTCTGCAGCGTTGGCAGCTCTGCACGTTTGCTCTCTAGTGCAGACCCTTTCCATCATCGTTAGTGGGGAGGCCTCAGACTCGGGCGCTGCGCCAGGTTAGTAAAACTTTCCATGAGGAGAGCCTTTGGCCTCGCCCAGAGCCGCTCAAGCTCAGGAAAGGCGGGGAGGGAGCAGAGGGACGCTCAGCCCAGACGCGGGGCAGACGCGCTCTGGCCGCCTGGCCTACCTGCTTGTTGTTTTAGTGGCTTCGAGACTCCTGGAAACCCATGACTCCACTGAGGGGCCTGAAAGGCCCGATCGTGGCAGAGGCCATGAGGCAGTCGAGGCGACCAAGGGGGAGGGGGCAGCAGCAGACCCACGAGGGCCCTGGGAGCCACAGCCTCTGCTCCAAGCCCCACGGAGAGTGCTCCTTACGAGCAAATGGCCATGCTAGTGCTGGGGACCCCAACACAGACACGGACAGACCCGGGGCCTCGCTAGCATTTCAGCAACATTCCAGCACACGAGGGCCGCGTGTGTGAGCGAGCTGCTCAGGGGGCCGTGGGACTAATTGGGAGAGAGTCAGGGGCCAGGCTGGGCTGTCTGTCTCTACAGTCCACAGACTCGGGGTTGGACCAACGGTGCATCTAAAGTTCACAGCATGTTTTCACAGTGTGCTTTCAAAATGGAGCAGGCCCAGGCCCAGCTAGGGGCCTGGCACTCAGGCAGCTGGCTCCCACGTGGCTGACCGCAAGGTTCGAGTCGAGACCTGGTGACTTGAGAAACACCTGGGCACACGTGTGTGCATGCCCGGAAGCCCGAGCAGGGGAGAGATGGCGGAGAGGGCTTGCGGTGTGGCTGTCCCCTGGGGTGCCTCCTCCTCTCTGTCCCTGACGAGCCCACACACCCTCTAGCAAATAATGACGATGACAAACACGGGACCCATCAGGCAGGTATCTTCACGTGGCTCTCGGTGAATCTGCCACCCTGAAGAAGTCTCGTGGACATCGCTAGGACAGAGACCCACAGGCGCCGTTTGGGACGGGTACTTCTCTAAGAAGACGTGTGGGTGGAAGTGACCGGAAAACAGACTCTTCAGAAAGAGGCTGGGATTCCCTGGCCAGGAGGTCCCAGAGGTGACCAGACCGAGTGCACAGCCTTCCGTGGATGGTCGCCGCTCAGGCTCAGACGCGGCCGGCGCGGTCCCTGCTCCACGGGGCTGATGGTCCACGTCACTGGGCAGGAGTGCGAGGGGACAGAGCCCAGCCTCAGAACATGCCATAGAGGAGGGTCACAGGTCCTGAGCATAATGCTCGTACGCACACCCCCAGGGACACTCCAGGGACAACACACATGCACGCACACCCCAACTGTCCTGACCAAGCATGGGTCCGCGTGACCCTGTGGGCACAGCAGGTGAGGGCCTGGGAGTGCGCCCCCACCAGGCAGGAAACAGCAGGACCTCACGGGGGCCCGGCCCACCAGGCCCGGGGCTGGCGCTGATCTTGCCACAGGAAGGTGCGGAGTCCCGCTCGCCCGGCAGCACGTCATGTGTGCAGGGCCCAGGACCCCACTATTGCCCTGCACGAGGGTCCGAGATGACGGCAGAACACAGACAGTGGAGACCCTGCAGCCACAGGGACAGCTCAAGTGGCAGAAGAGGCCACGGCGTGGCTCTGTGCCTTACAATGGGCCATTGAAGGAGGCTGCCAGGCCTCGTCCTCAGAGGTGGGAAGCCCTGTCTGTCCCTGTCGGCCCTGGGCCCACTCGAGCCTGGGCAGTATGGGAGGAGTGGGACACTCGCACCCTGGGCTGGTTTGCACCCGGCCGTGGAAAGCGCTCAGACCTGGAAAGTCAGCTGCTGGGACCTGAATGGCTACATGAGCCGATCTAGCAGGCCCAGAGCACAGGCGGGGTGACTCCTGAGACTCCCAGGGCTTTGGCTCCCTGGGCCGGCAGGTCGGCAGTCCTACCTCGGCCCGCAGCACTCTGCCCAGGTTCTGACCCAAACTACTGTCGTGGCACCGCAGCTGGCATCAGGGCAGCCCGGCTCCACCCAGCCTGGCCCAGCATGAGGCTCCGCCCCCAACGCCCTGTACTGCTCAGTGGCGTGGCCCCGCCGAGCCGAACCAGCTGGCATCAGGGCAGCCCGGCCCCCCCCAGCCTGGCCCAGCATGAGGCTCCGCCCCCAACGCCCTGTACTGCTCAGTGGCGTGGCCCCGCCGAACCGAGCACAGCCCCTCAGTGGCGTGGCCCCGCCGAGCCGAGCACAGCTGCTCCCTGGCCCTGCCGAGCTCGCAAAGGTGAGAAGTGCCCAGCGTCTCCCCCGCCCG